GGGAGGTGAAACAGATAGATAAGAGGGAAGGAAAGAGAACAAGGAGAAGGAGAGAGACAGACAGACAGAGACAAAACACAGGAAAGAATGGGCATAGATAAAAAGACAGATAAACAAGAAGAAAAGGAAGAAAAAGACAAAAAGTTGGAGTGAGAAAAAGGTAGAGAAACAAAAATGTAAAGAGTGGGGGTGGGGGGAAGGGGGGAGAAGGAGAGAGAAGAAAAAGAAAAATAGGAGAGAGAGAGAGAGAGAGAGAAAAAAGAAAGAAAAAAATTAAATATCAATTGAATTATAGAGGGAAAAGAAAAAAAAACCCACTACAGAGGGGCGGCCTGGCACGTCCAAGGTAGATCAGGACAGCAGGCGCAGAAGCTTTGAAAATCTGTTTGTCTTCACAGATAGGACCTCTAGTGGTCATACTAAGTCTCTGGTCATTTGTTGGGGGGGGGGGGGGGGGGCGTTTTTCACTCCAGAAGACCAATACCTCCGCACACAAGAATTTAACTCGCGTTCTGTGTGTGAAGCGAATGGGGGGGGTCGTCTTTTAAAAAAAAAACAATTTTAAAAAGTTCAATTTACAGATTTAATCATTTAGTTTGCAAAATGCAAAATCTAAGACAATAAAAAAAAATTTTAATATCTGATTATTTTTTACCTTCAAATTACTATTTGGAATTTTTGGGGTTTAAAAAAAAATTTTCAGGGGAGATGCGGGAAAGAGAGAAAGGTGGGAAGGTATGAAAACAGAATGGATTAAAACTTTTATTTTAACTTTGAGGTTGAAAAACAACTTGACAATTAATTAAACGATTAAAAAAAGCTTCTGCACTGCACGCTGTCCAAACCATGTCCTTGTGACAGTGGAGCACAGACCGCCCCCTGGTGGCAGTGGTGGTGGTGGTGGTGGGTGGTGTGTATACAACAGCATATGGTGACCACGAGGAGAGAAAGAAAAAAAAATTGAAGAACAAATCGATAGATATAAAAAAAAGGCACAATTCTAGAAGGTTCTACCTCTCTCTATTGTTATTAGCCTGCCGCCTCAGTCGCTCTCTCTCTGCTTTGTCTGCCACGCTTAAATTGGGGTCATCGTCCGGCAGGCTGGCCCTAGGTGACAATCATGTGACTTCAGCAATCATGGGGCTTACTTCAATCATGGGGTTTACTTCAATCATGGGGCTTTACTTAAATCAGGGGCTTCACCAATCGTGTGAGTGACTTAAAATCAAATCATGTGGCTTCAATCGTGAGACTTAAATCATGGGGCTTCAATCCTGTGAGTTACTTAAATCATGGGGCTTCAATTATTTGACTCACATAAATCATGGGGCTTCAATCCTGTGAGTTACTTAAATCATGGGGCTTCAATTATTTGACTCACATAAATCATGGGGCTTCAATCCTGTGAGTTACTTAAATCATGGGGCTT